GGGTGGAACCCGTAACTAAAGAAGAAAGGAGATTGTCCCGTAGAGCGATTGACAGCGTTATTCATCGCGAATTCTGCAGCCGAAAGATAGGTATCCCAAACGCGCGGGTTGTTGCCAGCGTAGGTTCGCAGCATATCACCCTAAAGTGCGATTCATCCGCTCAGTCTGACCGTCAGTTTGTGGGTGGTAAGCAGTAGAAAGGCTGACTCGGAAATTCGCCAAAGTGCCAAGGGCTCCCCAAAACTTGGCACCAAACTGAGGTCCTCTATCAGAGATAATCGATTTGGGAACACCATGTAAACGCACCACGTTATCAAAGAACAGTCGAGCGGTTTGCTCCGAGGTGACTGCTGTGGTGGTCGGTACCAAATGTACCATCTTGGTCAAGCGGTCAACAATGACGAGGACAGCATCGTATCCCCCCTCAGAAAGAGGAAGTCCAACGACGTAGCTGGAACCTTGACGACTGCATGCTACAATCCAGGTACGGCATGCAGTGGGCCGGTGACACTCAAGAAATCCTGCATACACTTCCTTAATCTTAGATGCCATAGTGCTTTCATTTTGTTGTAAATACAGATTTATACCGATTAGTACTGCGCTTGACATTGAGCATCTAACAACGACTCACTGCCAACACAAAGCGTTGACTACAGGTGTTTATGCCATTAGACCTCATTTAAGTGAGCGGGGACAGGAGCTTGCCACAAAGCTGAAGATTGAGAACAAGCTTCTTCTCTGTGAGGGCGCCCTTAGGGCACCCTGTCCAGTCTGCTAAGCTCTCTCACTGACGATGGAGACAATGAAATCTTCCAATGTGATTGGGAGGCACAGGAGCAGACCAACCTTTTCAAGCTGCTCGGGCTGGGTGAGTCACGGGACTGTGTTGACCAGGTCCACATTGGCGGCGGCCACACCATGACTCTGCACTCATCGTCACAGAACTTTGTTACCTGGTTCTATGTTATTCTGACATCTACGCTAGCTATTCACCGGCATCAAGGGTTGCAGTCCGATGCTGCTGCACAAGCATGATAACTAATGTAATGTTTTATTGTACTTTGCCCCTCTATTTGTTTTCAATGCAGATGTATTTTAGCTATGAGTGTCGAGGAGGCAGAGCAGTGTCTTGAAGCTGTTTCAAGCAGCAGCCGGATCCCATGACCAATGGATGTCAAGCGCTGGACCAGATCACCTAGCAGCAGATCAGAAAGTGAGTTCCTGTCAAAGTTTGTGTTGGTTTCATGTCAGGGTTACAAATAGGTTGGTTGGGTGCTCACCAAGAATTGCATGGTTTTGCGACATCGTGTTAATTATGTGCTTCAGTATAGCAACCTGTCCATTTTTACTCCACTAAGCCTATATGTCTATAACTAACTGACTGACACATGTCCCGCTGCTGTTGCAGTCAACCACCTTGGACATGGTGAAGCAGTGGGCCACAGATGTGGGCGGTGGAGATTGCAACAGCCATGATGACAGCAAAGGCCGCCTCAAAGCGCAGCAGTTCTGCGCCTGATGTCGTCTTGACCTAAGCGGATCTCCCCTTCATGGAAACAAAGGCGAAGGGGAAGGGGGGCAAGAAACGACGGTGGTAATGGATGCACGTTTATTTTGGGACGAATGCACATGTAATGTGATGAACAGCTGCATTGTCTTCTTTTGTGGAGGTGCCTTTTCTTAGGGCTGAAAGCACGTTCGTATCACATGATCATGATCAGCCGTGTCTTGAGACGGCTTGGCTTATAAGCAAATCCATCTCAAGACACGGCTGATCACGTGATAAG